GAGACCCCTTAGCAGCTCCCATCTTTTTGTTCATAATGGAGGCGGTGGCATCATTTATCAGAAAAGATCCCTCCATCCAACGCTTGACACCAGAACCGGACCAGCAGGGCAGACTGATCCAATTGTCGACGACGCTCCTGTTTGCTGATGATTTAACGGTGCTGATTCGAGCCTCGACCTCATCATTTGAGGCCCTCACGAGAGCTATGCTGGCATTCCAACTGGCATCTGAAATGAGAATAAACTGGCCTGAGGCAATAGGTTGGTGGCTGCACTACGGGGAGGGATAGGATCAGAGACCGGAGATCACCCTGGAGGGAATGCAGTGGGTAAGGACAGAGGAACCACTTCGTTATTTGGGAATCAGGCTAGCAGAAACGGGTCCTCACCACTCTATGGCTCCAGAGATCTTAGCAAAACTTCTTACAAAGTTAAGTGTTTGGGCAGATATTTATACCCCTTTGTTTGGAAGAGCGTTAATTTTAAATGCTTCCATTTTTTCGATGTTGTGGTACGTAGGCACGATTTGGACACCACCGAATCAGGCCATTAAGAATTTAAGGAGGTCAGCAGCCTTCTTATGGGCAGCAAATCCTAACAAGCAGAATGTCATATCTAAGGTCGCGTGGAATCACGTCATCAACAAGAAGGAGCAAGGGGGTTTGGGCATATTGGATCCGGAACAGCAAATCAAGGCGCTGCAAACGAAGTGGGTTCTAAAGCTTATCACTCATCCTCAACTTCCATGGGCTCCTCTGGCCTTAGAACACATTAGAAGACTGGCCAAATACAAAACACCGCCTAATATGACAGGGTTGTACTGGGTAACGAGCGAAGGATGGGCACGAAAGCGAGGGAACAAAGGGGAGGGGATACCCGGGCCAAATGAGCGTAGGGGGGGTTCCTATTGGGCTCAACTCCTTAAGCTCTGGGGAGAAATTTTCCCAGCAAGAGTCAGGGAACCAAGCAACAGAGAGGAGTTGCTCCGTCAACCGCTATTCTGCAACCTTTTGATCAAGGATCAGCAGGGAAGGTCGCATACCTTAACAGCGAGGGACTCTAAATGGGGAACGTGGGTGGAACATGGAGTCTGGCAGGCCAGACATGTATGGTCAGAGGAGAAACAACGATGGAAGACAGCAAGAGAACTTCGATACGATATGAAGGGCACACACAGGTTGTAAAAAAACTTGATATGATGTCCTCATATCGATCCCATTGGAATGGGTAACTCTGCTAGAGAAAGGCCCGCAATGGGAGAAGCGGGATTGGGCCACGTGGTTACACGAGGATAAGCCAAAGGAGGCTTTCAAGATAAGAGGTAAGACGGGGCCGAAGGATGCATGGTTATTGGCTGATAAGTTCGCAATAGAGGAAACAGGGAACACCACCAGTCAATTGGATAAGACATCTACTACCCCGATTTCAATCTTAATAAGCGCAGTGCGAACGGTCAGAGTGGTGGAAACTGACAACGATATGATCTATGCTCCGGATACGGCTCTGGAGGACTTGGAAGTGGATCCGACAGAATGGGCATGGAACATCAGGGGAGGGGTGTTGAGGGTGGCTAGAAGAATAAGCATATTGCACTACACAACTAAACTGGGATACAAACTTAGAAGAAGGTCTCACCCACTGGCGGAGTCACTGGCTGCTCGTTGGGAAAGGAGGTTGGAAGTCCCCAAGATGCAGGATGCTAGGCTACTGTGGCCAGAGCTGAATAGCATAAGGTTGGGTCGGGTCAAAAGCTTGCAATGGCTGATTTTCCATGTGGCGCTCCCGGTCAATGCATGGTTGTACGAGCGCCGCAGTCAACACCAAAGGGATCAGGTCAACTACAGGTGCCACCTCTGCACGGCCGAGGGGATGGAATCCTTGATTCATTCTGTTACAATGTCCGGAAGCGGCATATGTGTGGGAAGCAGCCAGGGAACTGTGGGGAAAAACCTCAGATATTCCTTTTCTGGAGGATAGGAGGATCCTCCTCACCGGGATGGATCTTCCCAAGACAAAGCAACCGGGACAGAGAAGGGGATTCCAATTACTGAGACAATATGCGTTGTGGACCATTTGGAAGAGGAGATGTCATTTGACGTTAGGAAAGGGACATGCATAGACAGGAGGCTAAACAAGTTTTTCATAACCTTCTGGAGGCAGATATCACGGCCCAATGGCAAAGAACAAGGCGACAAGCTCAGCTAAATCCGATGAAAGCACGGGAGATATTTAAGACTTTTAGCCAGGTAACGTTGAGTAAGGGAAAGATAGCAACCATTGAAGGATACAAATTGGTCTTCCATTGGTTCGAGAATAAAAACCAGCTGGGGCAAGAATACAATGTTAGGCTCATAATGGTAAACTTCAGTTCCGATAGGAGGGAAGGTGTAGCACCCTAAACTCAATTTTCTAGGGGGTCACTAGGGTTTAGGGTTTAAGGAATAGAGGGAGATGAAGAAATGGTACTCCGAACTTAATCTTTCTAGGGGGTCGGTTAAAAAAAAAAAAAAAAAAAAAAGTAAGTCAAGCTTAGGTAGGTAAGGTTCATAAGTCACTCCAATCTACACGAGGATTGAGTAGGGTCTTAAAACATAGGAAGTAGTCAGACAAAGGGGTAGAGCGGAAGGAGAAACGATAGCAGTAGGTTTTAGGGTTTAAGGGAAGGATAGTTGGAAAGTGAGTGGGGAGGGAGAAGTTAGGTAGTGGTAACCTAGGGGTAGGATGGTCAGTTCTTTTAGCTCCAAAATGCAACCTAGAGACAGGCTGGCAGTTTCTGTCATCTATTGCAATTTGTCTTTTGTTAACCCAGCTTCGTCCCTGTGCAGGAACAGCATGTAGCTTGGCAGGAGAAAGGGACATTGGACCCGGTTTCCAGTATGAGCCTAATCTGGGTAATGGCCCCAGTCTTCCGGGTTGAGTTGTGGAGGGATTCCCGGCCTCCTTTCGCGTTATATATTTATAAAAAAAAAAAGACAACCACAATGACATTCAAGAAGGGACTTGTCACTATGGAGTTCAAAACACACAACGGTTTCCGGAAAAAAAAAAAAAAAAAAAAAAATCAGGGCCGCTGTGACACGGTAGGCCTGATTTTCAGGCTGGACAGACCAAGGTAGGTGAAAATTTAAGGTGCGACAAAAGTAATGCAAGGAAAATGAGCGATAGCGAACTTCAGAAACCAAGCAGCATCATACACATGAGACCAGATAGTCGTGACCTCGAACCGAAAGCAGAATTGCAACACGAGTCCCACCAAATAAGAGCACAACAAAAGCTCGTAAGTGACAATGTTCGAATAGTCTCATCATCATCAACAAAGAACCGATGTCGACATCCTATCTGGCGCTCTGCGCCCAGACTACAAATGGCAGATCATATCTAGCCTATCTACAATGCCGCTGGTGACGTCAACAGCTCCCCGAAGTACGAGCAGATCTCGGCCAATGCCGATCGCCTCAAGCACCAGGTATGTCTCTCGTATCACTCACAACCCCGATCCCCCACTCACAGATGCACGCGCACCCGAGGACCACCATGCGCCTTATCCAGCATACAGCAGTGCAGCTCTATGGCTGCCAGCTCATCCAGCTCACCCGTGAGCGCGTGAGCGCTGGCCAGCGTATAGCGCAGCAGCGCTTGCGCAGCATGCAGCCAGTGCCCGAATACCAACTCTAGAGGCAGGCCCATTCCTAAATGGAAGTGGCCTGCCTGCTGCGTGCGGCCAAGCTGCCCTGAGCCCCGGCCCGGAAGCTTCCGGTAGAACCCGAGAGGCTGTGCCTCTGTCCAGACGAATCAGGCCCTGGGCCTGTGGTGGTTACCGGTGCCCAACTGCCCGTGGCCTATGTTCGTTCCATGTTGCGTATCTGGCCCAGGGCCTGCCTCAGTTACATACGATAAAGGCAGCCTGGGCCTGGGCGCTTTCAACCAACTGGCGCTGCGCAACTGCCTGAATTTTCCCCCAGTTGCGTGGTAGTCCAAAATAGGCCTAGGTCGGGCCTGCCTTCACTTAGGGCGGCCGACCTGGCTGGGCCCAGTAGGACTTACCGAGGCCTTGTGCCTCACATTCCCTCCTCCATACTTTGCTAGTCCTCTGAGAAGTTCATTCAATCTGGCGCTTTCCTTTCTGCCGTAACTTCTCGTAGTGGGCGACAACCTGTGGAGCGGTCTGCATCAGTTCCTCCCGTTTAAACCATCTATCCTCCTTAGGATCTGTGTGATGTCTGAACCGAACGCTATACTGCAGCTTCGGTTTCGGAGGACGTCCCCTGCCTGTGGGTCTTGGAACTGGCATTTCCCTGTGATCCACGATATCATCGATGTCGACTTCTCCATCCATGGTTGGGGGCAGCATTGAGCGACGAGAAGGAAACTGGTCAGTTTCCTTGAAAGGAGCGCTTGGAGGCATGGAAGACTGGGTAAGTACGAAGGTGACCAGGGATCTGAACTACATATGAAGGTCCATCCGGATCATCCCCAACGATATCTAGAACCTCCCAGGATCCAAAGTATTGTGGCATGAGCTTGCCGGAGATCCCATGCTCCTGTCCCAGTTTTGAGGACTTAACCCAGACTCTGTCCCCTACCTGAAATGTAGATGGGCGGCGGTGCTTATTCTCAGACTCTATCATCACCGCCTGTGCCCTGTGCATCTGTTCTACTGCCTGCTGCATCAGTTCATATCGATAGGCAAACTCTAGTGTGCCAGGTGCAGCAGTTGGCTGATTCCCACGTAGTAGGAAGTCCAGTGGTAGTCTAGGCAAGAAAGTTAGTAGCAGACTGTTAGGGCTCACCCCAGTGGCGCTGTGCACAGCGTTGTTGTACAGGCTGGCAATGAGAGCAAGTTTCTCATCCCAGTCAACCTGATTGGGCTTGATATAATACCTCAGCAGGTGTTGAACGGCACGGTAAGCTGCTCTGCTTGTCCGTTTGCCTCTGGGTGGTTCCCGGAGGTCATCTGCAGCTGTGTACCCTGTTCTGCAGCTGCAGCCTTCCACACTCACTTGTGAACCTGACATCCCTGTCACTAACAATAGACTTAGGAAGTCCAAAGTCCCTGACCCAGTTCTCCTTGAAGAGTTTAATCACATACTCGGTCTTGGCTGTTGCAGGCATTGCGACTAACCTAGCATACTTGCTGAACCTATCCACAATGGCATAGACGTATCGCATTCCACTCTTGCTGGTGACCAGCGTATCCATGAAGTCCATGGACAGGCTCTCACCAGGCCTTCCCAGTATCGGAAGGGGCTTAAGAAGCCCAAGAGGGGCCTGTGTACGTGGCTTGTCTCTCTGACAAACCTGACAAGTCTCCACGTACAGCTTGGCGTCTCTCATCATTGTGGGCCACCAGAACTGCTGCAGCAAATTGGCCGCAGTCTTCTGGTAACCAAAATGTCCTGTGGCATCATGACATTCGCCTAGAAATAAACTACGCAAAGACTCCTGATTAGGCACACACAAACGTTTATTTGCGGCCTTCTCAAGGAACAGCAGGCCATTGACCAACTCAAACTCAGCTGAAGTCGCTTTGTCCTTCGCCTCGAGTCTGCGTATGATCTCAGCCATAAACGGATCCTCGCGATAGGCTTCCACCAAAGAGCGAGTAACATCGTCCGCAAGCCCAAACTCAGTAATCAGCGCACCTAGAAAGTCTGGCCTACGCGACACCGCATCAGCAACTTTGTTGTACTCTCCTTTGATGTACTGGGGCTCGAAGTCATACTGCTCAATGACTTCGATCGAGCGTTTCAGCGCATCAGAAAGCACAGGCTGGGTTCTCATCCACTTCAGGGTCTGATGATCAGTCCTGACGGAACCTCCCAAGGAGGTAGTGTCTCCAGTGGGTTAGCGCTTTGTAAATCGCATAAAGCTCCTTCTCATAGGTGGACTTGGCCAACTTCTGAGAGGGCATTATTTTTGACATGTACTCAACAGGCCTCAAATTGGGACCCTCCTGCTGCACGAGCACGGCGCCTATGCCATATTGGCTAGCATCTGTGGTTACTATTAACGGCTTGTCAAGACCTCATAGTGTGTCAGAGCATGCTTGTTACGGACTCAGCCACGGATTGATCCCTGGTCCACGGGGTACCACCCACCAAGCTGCTATTCTATTTTTTTTGAGTTTCTGATCTCCGGTTCCTTACTGTTGGCGCCCTGTGCAGTTGGTGCCCGTTCTCAAATCCCACCTCTGTCACTTTCGGATTCCGTAGTTGGCGCCATCCGGCATTCTGGCGCCCAGGCTCAGACCTTCGATTTTCATTTCAGCCCCGAGGCAAATTGCAGTTTTGCCCTCGGACTCAACTCGAGACCGGTACTTAAGACCGGACTCAAGCTAAGTTCGGGGACTCAGTTTTCAGCCTCAGTACTTGCGCTTCAGTGTGACTTGCTGCGACATTGTGTACGGAACCAAGCGTGCGAATTTGCCACTTTGTGTTCGTGTCCGTCGAGTCGTGTCGAGTCCGTGTCGAGTTGCGTGAGTGTGTGTGTGTGTGTGCTCTCACTCCCTCCCTCTCCCTTCCCCGACCTCGCTACTCTGCCTCAGCCCCGTCACACTGGTATCCGAGCGACTTCGGCCCTCCCTCCCGCCCTGATTCATCGTCGTCGCCATCGACCTCGTCGTCGTCACTGCCACGTCATCATCATCGTCGTCGACCCCGTCGCCGTCCTTGCCACGTCATCGACATCATCGTTACCTCGTTGCCGCCACCGTCGTCGCCAGGTCATCCACATCGTCGTCATCGTCGTTGCTCCCACATCATCGTCAGCATTCCCTCGTACCCTCTGCCACGTCATCATCACCACTCCCGCCGCCATCGACAAGGCACAGGTAAGCCCCCGACAAACTTTTTTTTTTCTTTCATTCTTCCCCGTTTCTTCCTCTTCTTTTTCCCCTTCTCCTTCACCATCATCGTCCACATTTCCTCTTCCCCCTCCCCGTCGTCATCATTTCCCCCTTCTTCTTCATTGTTTCTTCTTCCTATTCTTCTTCTTCCTTTTCTTTCTCCCTCCCAATTCTTCTTCTTTTCCTCCTTCTGCCTCTGATTGTTCTCCTTCCCCGATGCTCTTCGCCCCCCCCCGACGCCATCATCACTGTCGGGATTCTCCCCCCACAAAATTTTCCCAACTGCGCCCCCATTTCCAGATCCCCATCCTGTTCCCCCCGATTCCCCCTACGCTCCCTCTTCCTGTTCCCCCCGATTCCCCCCCCCCCCCCCCCCCCCCCCCCCCCCCCCCCCCCCCCCCCCCCCCCCCCCCCCGACTTACCCCAACCTCGACCACGCCTCCCCCACCTCCCTCCCCAACTGCGCACCCCTCACCCCCGACTTCCTCCTTCCCAAGCGCAACCCGCGCGCGATCCCCCGAGGGGGCTTTCGCCCCCTGCTCAACTTTCCCCCCCATGTTCCCCCCCCTATCATCATCATCATCATCATCAATCTACCCGTGCCCTACCTACCACGCTACCACCCAATCAATCGTAGCTAGGATCGTTCCGCCCTCGATTTACATCAAAACTCATTTTATTATTATTATGTTTTTTTTTTCCCTAGAATCCATTTTGATTATTTTTGTAAATTCAAAAATACTAAATTAACCATCTTTCTCGACATTTCTTTCTCAAAAGTATTTTCTTTTTGAAATTTTCGAAAATACATAGGATTAGTATTCTTTCTCGAAATTTCTTCTTCAAAATTCGAAAACAATTTTAATTAATTCTTTTTTGTTTCGGAAATATTTCAGAATTAATTAAACTTTTTTTCGACATTTCTTTTTCGAAAAACATTTCTAACTGCGAGGCACAGGGTCTATTTTTCACACAGTCGGCCGCCCTAAGTGAAGGCAGGCACGACCGAGGCCTACAGGCCATTTGGGGGTCACCACGCAACTGGGAAATTCAGGCAGTTGCGCAGCGCCAGTTGGTTGGAAGCGCCCAGGCCCAGGCTGCCTTTCATCGCATGTAACTGAGGCAGGCCCTGGGCCGGATACACAGAGGACCGAACAAAGGCTGAGGGCAGCTGGGTGCTGGTAACCACTGCAGGCCCTGGGCCTGTTTACTTCGAACTGAGGCTCGGCCTCATGGGGCCTACCAGAAGCTTCTTGGCCAGGGCCCAGTACCGCACTACCGCACATAGCAGCAGGCCACTTCGATATAGAGAAGGGCCTGCCTATGGATTGAACATTCGGGCACTGGTTGCATGTTGCGCTAACGCTGGCCAGGCTCAAGCGCTCACGGGCGAGCTGGAAGGAGCAGGCAGCCATAGCCGAGTTGCGCTGCTGTATGCTAGATGGGGCGCATGGTGGTCCTTGGATGCAGTGGCATCTGTGAGTTGGGGAACAGGGTTGTGAGTGATACGAGAGACATACCTGGTGCTTGAGGCGTGCGGCATTGGCCGAGATCTGCTCGTACTTGGGAAGTTGTGACGTCAGCAGCGTCATTGTAGTCTAGGCTAGATAGGATCTGCCATTCGTAGTCTGGGCGCCGAGCGCCAGATAGGATATCAACATTGGTTCTTCCTTGATGATGATGAGACTATTCCAGCATTGTCAATTATGAGCTTTTGGTGTGCTCTTATTTGGTGAAAACTCATGATGCAAGTTTGCTATTGGTTCGAGGTCACGACTATCTGGTCTCATGTGTATGATGCTGTTTGATTTCTGAAGTTCGTTATTACTCATCTTCCTTGCATAATTAATTCCTTTTCCAAATTTTTGAAATTACGTCTTTCTTCTTAATCAATTGTTTTCGAAATTTTTGTAATTCGAAATATTTTAGAATTAATTAAATTCTTTTCGTTCGGATTAATCAATTATTTCTCAACATTTCTTTTTTGAAATTCGCAACTACTTTTACTTCATTCTTTTTCGAAAATTTTGAAATACGTTCGAATTAAGCAAATCCCTTTTTTATATTTCTTTTTTTTAATTCAAAAACTATTTTAATTAATTCTCTTTGTTTTTGAAAATTTTCTTGAAATACATCATAATCAATTAATACCTTTTCGCAATTCTTTTTCGAAATTTTCTTTCGAAATTCCTGTTTTCATATGATTCGGAAGTACTTTTCTTTGTTTTTGCTATTCTGAATTCCTCAATTCATTTCGACTAAATTCAATTAATTCACGACTGGATTAGTCTCTTTATTCGAAATTAATCACCCTTTTTCAAAATTTTTACATCTTCTTGTAAAATTCCTACAAAATACCTTTTCAATTTCACCAATTATTCTTAGAAAAATTCAATTCCGAATTAATTTATTCAAAATTAATTCTTGTTTGGTGAATTTTATTTGGAATTACCTTTATTGCTAAATCAATTGATGACATTCTACTCTTATAAATAGGAGCCCCCCCCCCAAAGCATGCCACGCTCAACCAAGAACTCTCAACGTGCAGCCGCCGACGCCGCCGCTGTTGCCGCCGCCTCCACCTTATCTGCTGCTAACTCCTCAGCCGCAGCTACCACCGCTTCCTCCCCCACCATGGCCCAATCATCCAGCATTGATATGTTCGGCATCCGCTCTAACTCTGTCGACAGCATCGCCCGCAACCTCGCAGGCGAGCAAACACCAGCACCCGATGTCGCCATCGACCTCGTGGCTCTTTTCCGCATGATGACATCTCTCCAGTCATCCATGGACGACATCAAAACATCCGTTTCCACTATCTCTGCTCGCGTGACCACCATTGAAAGTTGCACCCCCGCCATCCAGGTCGTCACCACCACATCCCCCCCCCCACCTCGGG